CTGTGATTTATAGCAAAAGCAAAAAAAATAAAAAGAGATAAGTCTGCCAGCCCTGTCACTGAAAACCTGGCAGATTTTAACATCTAGAGGGTTTCCCATAATCAAGCAATGAGTTAAACTGTAGCATATATTTAATTATTGGTAAACTTAGCAGACACTGCAGCACGGAGCAGTCAAAACCCCTCAAGAATCATGCTCCCTTGGAAAGCTGTTTTAGCGTGTCAGGATAATAGTTGCCTTGTTCAAACTTCACACCCGGCTTTACGAGCGTCTTTTTAATGYAGACAAGGATTACTCTATTACTTGAAAGCTTAAGCACCAAATGCTGAGGCCAAGATGGAAAGATGCAGTATTTTCCCGAAAGCCTCAGCTAGAAAACTCAGAGAGAACCTGGTCTCATCCCAGGCTGTTCTGAGGACAGTGGAAGAACAGTGAGACTCACCCAAATGCTCTTGCATTTTAACCAGAAATACAATTTTTAGAACACCAGAGATGAACATTTTTCAAACTGCTTTATTTTTCCTCACAGCCACTCCTGGCTGGTAAACAAGGTGAGGTAAACTACTGTATTTAAGCACCTTTGGTCCCCTGGTTACAAAACAAACCTTTTTCRGGGCTATGAAGACTGCAGTAACTCCTTGCTACTTCAGGCAAAAACTCATGGGCCTTTCACCCTTTATCCAGAGCTTCATTGGAAGGAGGGCAAAGAAAAGCTGGAAACATGAGATCAAACAAAAATCCCTTCTTAGATTCAAGTGATTCACTGCTATCATCTTATTAGGTTTCTCTGGCTTCCACCTGCCAAGTAAAATGCGGGCAGAGTATAAGGTGGCAGAAGGAAGCTTTCTCCCAGAGATGGTTAAAAAGAGTGAAGCTCCCCAAAATGGGTCCCAGCTGCTTAACAGGAAGGGATCTCATCCCCACCAGACATGGCTGTTCCTAGGGTCACCCTTCCAAAGCCTGAAGACCAAGTGCTGAGAGACCCAGGTTTAATATCTGTCCACTCGCAGCTACAGAATCCCATAGTGCACTCTTTTTTTTTTCTTTATTTTTGTCTTATTTTACCACACAACAGAGATTTATTGGCAGGGGAGGAGTGGGATTACCCAGACCTGCTTGGAGGGTGACCACGGTGCACTGTCCCCTGCCAGCCCTCATACGAGGTCGGTTCTGGCTGCCTGTCCCTGAGGCACAAGAGGACTCGTCACCCCAAAGCTGAAGCCGGACACTCCAAGTAGATTAAGTAAGGATGTCTTTTGGGTCTTGTTATTCCCAGATCAAGAACAGATGATTTAATGTCCCTCCTGGCTTTGAGCTCAATGAGGTCATATTACACTCTCACGGCTGTAAGGTAGGCCTGGGTCAGAGCTTTTCATGTAACACCACGGCAGGGCCCAAAGGAAAGGAGAAATAGGTCTTGACATAAGAATTCAGTCCTTCGAGGCCTTCAGCTTGGCCACACACCTCCAAACTCCCCAAGTGGGAAGCCAGGTTTGAGGTGCGTTTTTAAATAGGTCACTAAAGACCACRAGGAAAATAAACTTAAAATTTATATCCCCTGCAGCTCTGTACCTTATGTTTCTTTGAGTGCAATCTATTGTAAGGGCTCTGTAGAGACTTCATCATTACAATGTTCCGTGTAAATGTGAACGGGGAAGGCACGAGTGCCCATCTTAAACACCTACCAGGATCAAGCTCCTTTGATCGATGGCAGGAGACGGACCCCTCAGGAGRGTGGATAAGAGGAGACTCTAACCTAAATTACCCAGATTACCCTCTGATTAACCTCTCTCTTCCTCTCAACTGAGCTTATGGGAAGCTGAGACTAGTTTTCTAACAGCAGCAGTATTTACAGATGCCTAAGGTGACTGTATCCCCAAGGTCTGCAGGATCTGGGACGGACACAGAGCTGAAAAGATGTAATTTAGCCATTAGAGAGGCACTGCCTTGTTGAATTTTTAATGAATTGCTGTTTTCCTACTATTAATGCTTCTAAGTTATTGTTTAGGGAAGTCAGGCTTAAAATATTAGCAAAAATAAATCAGAAACATCAGATGCTGATTCTTGGGCAGGTTCTTGGAAAACATTATTCCATCATTTGTTATAAAAAGCCCTAACCAAAGGAGATAACCAAGCCAGCTGTGCATCTGCTATGTATTGCAAAAGGACCAATTATAGGGGACTTGGAAAAGGCTGAAATACTTAAWACCCATTTTGCTACGGAGACCAGATATGTGATGAAATTTTAAAAAGAAGAGAGCAGGGCAGACCATGTATATGCTTAAGGATATTTGAGGAAGATGAATGAATTCAGTTTAATCTATCTTAGAGTGTTTAAGGAGCTGGACAGGTGTAAATGTCTGTTMCTAATTCATCTTGCATTTKCTTACAGTCTTTCTTGAGTTTTCTYTATATAATGGAAGCAGAAAGAAAATTACAAATATTGGAGTCATTATGTCCATTTACCCACCATGCTGGGTAAAAACACTATAAACATATATTTGGAATATTTTTATTTTGTTGGAGCTTACAACTGTTTTTGTTATCATTATTATTATTTTTTCTCCAGTACTGGGCTCTGTTTCAGCAAAAATCAGATGTCTTCGAAACTTGGGAGCAAATTCTGTGCTGAGTGAAAATTTCTGTTACCCAAGATACGCACGAGGCTGAAAAGCAGTGCAGATTGGAGCTCTGCCTCAATGGGAATGCATTTAAACTTCTTATTCTGTGGTCAAATGCAGCCCCAGTTTAGGACTAAGGTTATGAAATGCTAAAATTATGCAATCAGAAGTGACGGCATCAGATTATGCATCAAGCTGTTAGGGAAAGAAGCATCTTCCAGCTAAATCAGATGTGCCTTTATTTTAACTATCATCCAAGCAGAACCAAAGGATCTCTGGAAGGGAGGAGGAAGAGGAGGGGAGAGAAAAACTGAAGCTACTGATCAAAAATAACAGGTTAAATCCACAAGTTTAGCAAATTGAATGGCATGTCACTCTAGTTCACCTCTCTCCTGCCTCCCCATCCTTCTGCTCATGAATTATCTTTAAATAAGAATGCTTGGTCTAACTGTCTCAAGCCTAAAAGACAGCAGTTCTGTATTAAGTCTGAGGCCATGGAGTTCAGCTGTGGGGAGCTTCTGTTATGATGCTGGCAGCCGAGCAGGGAAAAGGCAGGTTTCTGTTGCTGTTAATCAGCCAGCAGGATGCAGAAGCCGAAGATGTGTGTTGTTCCTACGTACAGCAGGTAGCTGCTCCATAATTAAAGGCTTTCCCAGCAAGAAATGTTGCACTGTAGATTTTACTGCAGGCTGTAAAGGAGCAGAAGGGCCCCACACTGCCTGGAAAGCTCATCTGGGAAGGCGGAGAAGTTCTTCACCCACGTCTGCCTTCCTCTTCCATCACATTCCTCCCACATCTCTGGTCATTACCCGCCTGACCCTCCTGCAGCACTCAAGGGAACTCACTGACAAAAGTCTATCAAGTCACTTATAGAATAAGGCAGATGATAATGGCAGGAAAAAAGAAAACTGAGAGCTTCCTATATATCCACCAGCACATTGTCCTTGTGTGGAATCCATGGCTGCACCAGGTAAATAACACGAAAATTGTTTATTTGGCTGTCAGCAATGATAAAGATTTMCTTTTCTGTTGGCCAATATTGATAGGTTTTAGTACATCACAACAGCACCTCTGTAATATTTTCAGGAAAAAAAAATAGCAAAATGGGTAGGTAGCATAAATATTGCTTTGGGGTTTAAGAAAAGTAAAGGGAAGGAGAATGGATAACTCATCCTAATAAGACTCCTGCTCTTGTTTCCCAAGGAGATGCAAATACATACATCAGGGGCATAACAATTCCAGACAATTCCAGGCTCAGACATCCATGAAATGAACTTGCTAACTACCTGTGCTCATGTTTAGGCTGCAGAAATTGTGAAATAATATGGGCTAGCTTAGCCCCAAGAAAAAAAGAAAGGCCAAGATAAATGCATTCAAATTTATCTAAAACTTACTACATAATGTGATCAGTATATCATTAATACAGGAAGAAACTGTTTTGATAGAGTTACTCCTGCCATACAGTCCTGAAAGCAGAGTGTGATGTTAAAACCATATGAAAGATTTCTTTTTAAAGCTTCTGGAGGAATCCCTTGTGCTTTATAACATAGAAGTACACCTTAAATGAACTCCTGAAATCCCGGAGAGAACCAGAGACCTTCTTCTCCTTTCATTTTTGCCAGCAGAATTACTCCCAKTTCACACTGATAAAAGAGATGAGAACAAATCACACTGGGCTGTGCACTAACACTAACCAAGACTCATTAAGCTAATTACAGCTTGCTCACAGGAGCCTGATTCCAGTCCCGCTCGCCGCATCTGCAGCAGCGAAGCTCAGCTGGGCTCTGCAGAGCTGCTTTGGTTTCATATCACTGGGGTCAACATCAACCTACGTCCTCCGGAAGGTACAAGCGTGATGGAAATGCAGCACAGGAGCAATGCTAAATTGCCATTCTTCAGCTCCTTCCCCCTAGTTATTGCAAGATTTGTACCGCATGCAGGTGAAGCACTCRGCAGGATTATATTTCCTCACAAAATGTTTGTCTCAGGAAGCCAAATTACATTTCCTCGTTCGACTCAGACTGGCTAAATTTCCATTTGCAAACTGAGCGCTCTTTTCTTCCTGATATTTCGCTTCTCGAGGATTCCTGATGATGTGCCCAGCTTCCACCGCATGCACAAATTCCCAGCCAGAAGTACATCTGCTCCTGCAGCCTTCTGCACGCAGACCTGCCGTGCTCCTGATGGGGAGCAGCTCGAACATGCAACCCTGGCGTGCAAAAAGGCRATGTTAGTCTGAAATTCAGCACTGCCTGTACTGGTAATTTTAGAATAAAAAACAACCCCAAAGGTGACCTACTTTAACACATCAGCTCTCCGCTTTTTCCATGGTTGTTGCAAGATTTTCTGTTTGCACAAGGGCTGGGTTTAATCTCGGTGATGCAGGTGTGGATAGGGATCTACTTCACCCGCTTCAGCGAATGTTTCCCTGATCCCAGGAAGAACATCTGGACTGTACCGAACTGCCCAATATGTCATAGTGRATTTGTGGAAGAGATGAAAAGAAAATCCATGCGTGAGTCCCGATGCACTCCCTGCTGTTCTCTGCCTTACACAACACTTTGTTACATAAAACTTATTCTGGAAAAAAAAAATTAGAAAAGTGGGGAGAGAGATGGGAAAAAAATAACATATTTTTGGTTGTAAGCCAGTTTTCTGTATGAACATGGCAGCAGCATGTGAGGAGAAGCAAGATATCCTTATAGCACCATGTGACAAGGCTAATCAAAATAAACATYCAAAAAAATAAAGAAATTAAGGATGAGGTAGCAGACTGTGGGGAGAGCAGATGGTTATTTAAAATAACAGCAAAATTTTGTGTGCAGGCTGGAACTATAGCTCTTGTCACAAAAAATAGTCATTAATGGCAAAGGAGAAGGCGGAAATGTCATTAGGGTATTTTGGGGAGTTGGTGCAAGCTGAAAAATTAAAAACTTGGGGAGAAACTGCTGTGGGTCTGAAGAATGAGGCACCAAGAGTCGTGCCGGGCAGGCAGCACCATGTACAGTAGCCACTTCCAAGTGCAGCACATCCCTTAGTCTTTTCTATTTTTTTTTTAATACAATTTTAATTGTTTCAGGAATCTCAGCTGGAAATGGGGAGCTGCAGCTTCCCAAGCAGGGAGGATGCTACCGACCAAGCGCTAAGCAGCATCCCRGGCCTCTATCAAGGGAGACTGGGAGCCTCTCTGCTCTCCTGGCTGCCCTGTCTTGTGTTATTTGCAATTTGCCCAGGATTTYCTCTGTTATCTGTGAATTCACTCCTGACTCTGCTACAAGGAGTCCCAAGAGGCTGCCACTGTCCTTGTTGTGTCCTGGGACCAGCTATCTTAAGTGGGGTCAGCTAAGCAGTGATAGCAACTCAACAAAAGACATATATGCCTTTCTACATCCATGGAAAATTTGTGTTTCTTCCTGAGCCTCTAACTCTAAACATCTTATTTACTGTGAATCCCCCTCTAAGGCTGAATAATAAAAATAATAATAAAATAATAATAATAATAATAATAATAATAATAATAATAATAGACATGCTTCCTTTCTATGGCTAGATGTTTGAGAAGCAAGCTGTCAGCACATAGGGAATAAAATGGAAAGCAGCGGGTGCTGCTCTGCTCTATTAAGTGTTTTTAGCACACCAGACACTTTAGGATCTTGGCACAGAGCGATAAATGTAAAGAAGCAGCTTTTCTGTCTCTTGCAGAGGAGGGGAAAGTAGCAGGGCATATTCTACAGCCCCAAAAGCTGGAGATGAGAGTGCAAAATGAACGCCRGGTTTCCATGGAGTTCACGCCATGGGCTGGTTTGTTGGTCGTGGTTGGTACCCCTTCTTGTCCTGGGTGCAGACGTCCCCCTGCCAGCCAGGGAACCTTTCAAAGCCGCACATGGAGCCACCCAGCCGGAGTGTCCCTGACACCCGAACGCTCGCTTTGTAATTGCACCTTTTAGAAATCTGGAAGCTGTCAAGTCGCATCACGCCCAAGGTCCATTTGCTCCGTTCTCTGACAGTGGCACTGCCAGATATTTTGAAAGGAAGGGAAAATAAAAAAMCCCTTGAGTGCTGCAGGCTGGGCAGTGTCACCAGATCTGGGGAGGGGTTGCCTGCCTTGTGCCTGCGTGTTCCTGTCCATCCAACTGTTTTTTTTCCCTTTCTTTGTTTATTCCCAGACCTGTCTAATAGAAGCGTCTGTGTTTTCCTTCACTGTGAGACAMTTTTTCTAGCAGTTATTTTTCTCCCTCAACAACAACAAAAAATCTCAGTTTTGCTGAGGTTCTGGATTCCTGATTGTAAGCTCTTTTTGCATTGTTATCTAGTTCTGCATTGCTATCGAATTTCCTTAAACGTCATGCACCTTTGCATGCTTAGCTTTGTACAGTCCTCTGCTTCCTAAACATTCTGATATCATATAATCATTTTTATTGCCACTCATAACATACWATCTGAGCACTTCCCACCTAAAAACCGAGAGTGAAAGCATCCTTTTTGTAATTGTTTGTATTTTTTGAGGCTTAACCTTGACAGAGGTTTCAGGTTTCTTTTTGATATTATTTTGGACGTTACTATTTCTTCTTCATTTAGTATTTCTTGATTATGTGGGMTTTATTAAAAAGTGTGTTCCTCAARCGGCTTCTTCTTGCTGGAGCAGGGGGCAGGATTCATTTCATGACCGGTAGATACAAGAAGGGAATTTCTCAGTCCAGAGCACAAGGGTTATAATATCCCGGAGGATGGGAGACTGGAAATGCAGCATCCAGGACCCCAGCTTGTAAGGGACACAAACACTACTGGARGTACCCAGGAGAAATGGCAATCGGGAAAGCTTTAGGAGGGCTGATCCTGCTAAATAATCCCAGGAATCCTTGTCCCCTATGGGTGAGTCATCAGGCTGCAGTTGGGGGAGCTCAGCTGTAGATACATATGTATGTGTCATAATACCCAATTTTCCAGGTGCTTCCTGCCGGAGCACCTAACTGGTGATTTCTAGTCGGTTTAATTCAGTTCTGTAAAAATCTATCCTACCTCAGTGATCTAATGAAACAAAAGATTATAATTTTCTTCATTGCTGAGAGCCTCATATTCAGCCAGAGAACTTCATTATAGAATCAACTTATCAGATTTCATTAAAGTTCTTCAGATTTAGCAAATGGACACCTGGCGAGCTGGAATATTAGTTTTCTAAAASTTTCTGCACTTAGCAGCATTTTGAATAAGTTTCTCTGCAAATTAATTGGTAGTTTGATTAAATTCTTTTTTTGTGTGTATTCCATATGATAACTCAAGCAGCCATGTGAATATGAAATAAAGGAAAGAATTAGACACACTATAGAAGCAGAACAGGGCCTGGCAATGTTCATTTTGGGTATTTTCCTCTTGTGATTAAAGCCCTTGCCAAGTTTTACTGCCCCCAATTTGCATATCTGCACCTCTAATACAAATACAAATAAACATTTGCTTTGCAAAAGAGCCCGACATGAAGGTTAAGTTCATAAGCGCAGCCCAAGAAGACATAAGGGAGGTTACTGCCACGTCTGTAGATTCTGGTTTTCATTCGGATTTAAAAAATGCAAGCTCTTCACCTGAAGTTTTCTGTCTACATGCCCCTGGTTTGCCTGGGGAAGWGTCAGCCAGGAAACAAGGAACCTCCCTGTTTAATTTAAAGCCATTTGGCTGGGGCAGAGAGGGGAAATAYGTGCAGAAAATCTCTCTCCTCCTCGACACTGTTCTCCCTTCTGCCTGTTGCAGCCTGACAACAGATGGGCCAGGTAACAAATTCCCCTGCCCAGTGGCTAAATTAATTTGGGTTCCTCCTGCTCAGGACTGCATCTCTGAGCCCTCACCAAAAYCCTTAAGCCCAGAATAAGCAGCATTTTCTGAAGGGAAGTTCCCAAGTCACTGATGGGTGGAGGAGGCCATGGCCCAAGAAGAGTTTTGGAAGGTGGATCCCATCCTTTCTTCTCAGGAGGGAAGGTCAATAGCTCAAATTCCTCCTCTCCTTTCGCTTTGATGCTTAATGGGTCATTGTCCCTGTTTTCTGAGCATCTCTCTGGYTTAGCAGGAATCATTCTGTGTCTGCTCCCAAAAGAAATGCAAGAAGGTCTAAAGTCACCCGGCTGGTTAATAGAATCACCTCAACCTGCAAACACCTTACTTGCAAAGAGCCTAATGGAGAGTCCACAAACATCTATAGAAAGTCTTCAGTGGATGTGGCTGCTGCTCCTGGCATTTGGCACGATATCCCAAGCCCTGTAATCCCTGTTTTTGTCTCAGAAAGCACCTCCAGCTCTTCAGGACAGCAASACATTTCTCTGTTACATCCCCAAAAGCCTGAGCACTCCAAACAGAAGATGCCCAATCTCCCCCACAGCTCCTGGAGCAGCTCTGGTCACAGTGTAAATGCAGATAAAAACCAGCCATGGAAGAGTAGACAACGAAAACAAATGCTGTTAACTGCCCGTTAAGCTCGATGAGAGTACTTATCTTTCTGATTAAGGCAATAACAAACTAGATTTGTGTTTGATGACTCTCACAGGTTGCCTGCCAAAACCAGGCATTTTATGCAGCTCAGCAATGGTTGCCAGCACCAGAGCCCAGGTGCCAGGTCTGGGAGCAGCCTCCTCTTGTTCATCTCCAGTCACTTGAGCTGGAAACGTTCTTTCCTCTTCCCCTTCCCACTGGCCACGAGGACGCCCCACGCAGCACAGATGTCCCCGGGCTGCAATTCCACCTGCTCGGCCACGCTCAAGCAAACACAAAGTGCTGCCAGGGCTCCTCCTTTGCCTTCCAGGTTGAACCTTGTGCATAGTTGTTATCATTAAAGCCTGTTATTTTCACAACTCTTCTTCAACATTTTGTCATTTCCCTCTGTTGTTATTCCAACACTGTGAGTCTGTCTGACTTAGATGAGAGCCGGTCTGGAGYGTTAAATGCAGAAATGGGGAATGTCAACTTGGTATCTACCAAGGCTTTCCACCTGAACAGGGGCACTCTGTTCTTGGTAGAGGCACAGAGGACAGAGCAGATGGGGATGGGAGTTGCAAGAATACCTGGCTCCCACCTCTGCTTGGGTACTTAGTGCACTATAAAGAAGGCAGCTATCCCTTATTTCTCTGTCCATTTGTGCAAGACTTAGATGTTCTTATCTGTGAGATAGCTCAAGCTCCTTTGCTTGAGCTATCTAGTATCTAGTATCATGCATTTTTTTTAAATTGTTATAATTTATTTTAAAATCTTGTAAGGCACTTTTGTCTTCTGCAAGTTGTTTGTGCTTTTGCACCCTCTGTCCCTCACAACCCTCGGTTTGGCAGCAGAGAGGAGGGTGCACCAGCCACCTCTGACATTCCAAGGCATTCGGTTGTACCTTCAGCAAGGACAAGGAGTGAGGAGTCAGTCCGGAGGCAGGTGTAGCCTGTAGCCCCAAAAGCCATCGCACCTTGAGGAGCTGTTTCCAAACAGCTGCTAATGCAAAAAAGGGCACTAAAAACAAGTGTTTTGCATGGAAAATAGCAAGGCACTTCC